ATAAATAAGAATCAATTTTGGATTCTAAACCGAAGAGTCAATTAGCCTTGGGAAGGCAATAATCGCTCTTGGAGTAAGCGGATTGCAATCCGCTAACTCATACTTGGTTCTTGTATAGAACAAAAGGTCGGCGACCTAAAAAACGCTTCCATAAGCGCTAAGCTACGACAGCCCTGCTGCATTCATGCTCCTTTCGTCTTCTGAGGACACTGCGCGACAATACACTCTCCACTTACAAATCAATACGCTTATAGTCCATCCTTGAGCATCCTCACATTCCCAACCGACCTTCGAGGCTCATCAACAACAGGGTAAGGCACAAATCTGCGGTCGACTTCCGAAAAGCCATACTTAGCGAGGCAGCCGAGGCATTGTTCTATCAAAAACACTGACTCGCTTGACAAACAACAACGTGTAGCTTTGAGGGCCTTCAATGTAGGAAGTATGCGGCGTATGATACTCTACTAGGAAAAGTATAATGTTCTATCTTTCAGTAGAAAGCACTCAACATGCCGCATGTTTCGAAAACTTCAGCCATTTAGCTCTTCCCGGAAATTTGCTGGCTCTGCAAGAGTAAAAAGTAACTTCCCAAACTGGTATACTCGGGTAATACTGACACTGTGCAAAATGGATGGTCTCGGCACATCATCAAAATTTAAATGGCAAAAAAGTCGCTTATACCATGTGGTGAGGATACGTCCGTAGCATTTGCGTGAAACGTCAGCGTATCTGATCATTTTAGACGCAACCGATGCTGGAGCGATATCCTCCTACCCATTGAACTTGCATCAAATACAATAATTTGTGCCTTCCACACATCAGCTTATAAGTCGATCTAGCCTATCTCCCAGGCCAATACAAAGTGGTACTAAATTTATTGCGATAGGAGCTGTCAATTTTGTTAATCGACTTGCTGACTCAAAAATGGCGATTGTAATTTAACGAGTTAGGCGTCATGCGCCGAGTGTGCAACATATAGTGAGAGCCAAGAGATGCAGATGTCAAAGGCAGAAACACAATTATGAGCGTAATGTGTTTTATTTGATGCCGTTAACCAACCTACACATGCAGCCTCAACAATATTTAAGACTTAATCGTGCCTTCGCTATATTGAGCCCGTTACTGTCGTGGCTAAGAAACTCTGAACTACACTCTTGGTCGTATGCGAAGGCTTCTGCGTCATCTTTGGACTCTCTCAACCCGTATTGAATTCGCTTTTGTGATATACTTCAGTGTGTTGCGAATTGTTGAGAAGGGAATAATGTCTCAATCATCCCCTGTGAATGAGCAGCAAAGAGTCTACCCATTTCAATCTGTTATTGATCCGACTATGGGTCCTGAAACGTCGTGTGCAGAGCGACCAACGTTATCGGAAGACGCAAACAGCAATTTTTAAGGGTCCCACCAGCAAAACCTGTGAGGCTTAAAATTTCAAAAATTCTTGCGCGCAAGATCCGCCATCCTTCGCCTATTCTGCTCGAAAGGCAATAGACCTTGTCCAAATTGAGCAATTACAATTATGTTCTCACCTTGTAACCAGGTCGTAGTACCGCCAGTAGATCTTGCATGAAGGGTGCCGCCGCTGCTGATCTGGCGATTAAATGTTCTCTTATTAGAGATTGGACTTGTGGAGTCAAATTCCACCCTCTTAACAAATTTTGGCTACACGCCTTGAGCTACAGATTCATGTCTATTGGTTGCATCAGACGGATATCGAAAGTACGGATCGATCGAAGCAAGTGACACCATCCGGAAACATTGATGTGACATAGGCGCCTAGCAACAAGCGAGGTCAATCTCTTGACCACGGTCCGTTTTATTGGTAATGACATCGGTTTAATTATGTGCTCCGTAGCGGGGAAGGGCATCCCACCGCTTTTGTATTTAGGGTGTGCCACCCCAAGCTTCGAAGAGGCATTAAATAACGAATCTACGTAGCCATGTCGCCCTCGAAACATCCAGAGATGAAGCTGATAATGCACTCTGCAGTGGGGCTGCCGTAACTCTTTCGCTTAGAGGAAGCTAGGTTAAGGTCGGTGACTTTCGTTCTATACTTAGAACCAGTACGAGTGTAGCGGATCGCAATCCACTCACTTCAAGAGTTATAACAACCTTAACCCAAGGCTAATTAACTCTTCCGTTTAGACGTAACCTGTAATTCTCGATCTTATTTTGCGGCAAAGTCGCATATATTAAAATCTATAGGTTTTCCTATACATGTAGCAAAAAATCTAATTGAATGTATAACTACTGGCAGGCAAGCCACGTACTGACTTCTGGTTTAAGTGTAGCCTCATATTGTGTCATATACACCATTGTGTAATGTACACCATTGTGTGATCACACGATATTATGTGACCCACACATTTCACACCAGGGCACGCGCTTCACTTTCCCCAAGTAAGATTGTGAGCCCCTATAATTCACATTAAACTGTCGCCTCGAACGAGGCTCGCGCGTCTAAGACATCAGAACATCACCAGGACCTTCTTCACGAGTTTTCTGCTCGATGAGCCCCGTGTCGAGGACACGAAAGACACTCAGCCTCGCTGGACTGCGAGCAAAGCCCTTCTTCGTCTCCTGCACGCAGTGCAACTTCGGATGGCACGTCCGCAGCTTAATGGGAAGCGCAGCCCAAGCTCTCGGTAACCGAGTACCGCGCAGCGCATTGTCAGCGACAGAGTCGCACAATCAGGAGCAGAGACGCGATAGCTACTCCCGACCGCGCATCGCGCCCGCCACGGGCGATGAATTACCTCATCAAATACTTGGAGGATGTTGACTACGAGTCGGATACTCCTTTCCCAGGACTGGAAGAAGAAGAGAGCTAGGTGCCCCAGCGGCGCGACGTGAGCCCTTCCGACGCCGTGTACGATTCACGAACTCTCGACTTCCGGGGGAACTGGTGCCATTTCCAATGATCTCGACAAAGCACAGAAGCAGCGGCTGGATGCTGTTCGCAGGACAGCTCTCATGCGCGCGCATCCACGGTCGGTCCTTGATCCTCAGCATCCGCTCGGTGGATTTCGCTAAAGAGCAAAGGACGCGATTATTCAATCGTTGGGCGCCTACATGATCGGGCCTCCGGCCACTACACAAGCTGAGCTCGACGAACGAAAAGCTCTTCGAATTCGCTTCTTGGTTACTTAAGAACTCCCGGTGAATACGTATCTCACTCAACATCGAGCTCAAAAAAACTCTTAGAACGATTGATGCAGCGGTGCCGGAGACTTTCCTCGCTGTACAACCTACCGTTGAGCCACAAGGAGGTGGACTTTGCCATCGGCTGTGCACTGCTTCAAGTAGACGTCGAGGGGCGAGATATGGTGATCGCGTTTGAATCTCGCCAGCTTAAGGCTGCAGAGAGGAAATACTAAGTCCACGACAAGGAATTACTTGCGATGAAGTATGCACTTGTCAAGTTCAGGATGCACCGGCTTTGCTCAAAGCCGTTTGGGATTCTCACAGATCATGCGTCATTACGCACTGCGACTCAGTCGGCTCACCTCTCGTAGAGGATGACCAGATGGCTCTCCTTCTTCGCAGGCTTCGTATAAGCCAGAAAAGCAGAATATTTTGGCTGATGCGTTGTCATGCAGACCAGATTATGAGCTTGCTTATGTCACGACGGTGACGTCGTCCGTGACAGAATGATCCGCACCGCGTCCGCAGAGGTTGATATGAGCGTAGCGCTGCTACGGACTCTCGGAAGCAAGGAGTTTGGAGGCTCGGACAAGAAGTTGTCGTCGCGACTGAGTGCACAATTGCAGCGATATTCATTGAATAATGGTTTGCTGAATTATAGCACCGACTCGACGGATATGCCACGAATTGTAGTTCCTCACGATGAGGATTTAGAATATCGTATTTTCTTTGAGGCGCACGACTGGTCATCTCGGCCGTGAGAAGACGTACGGGTCGGTCAGTTGCCACTATTGGTGGCCCAAGCTGTACAAATGGTCGTGCACTTACGTGCGCACGTTTGAGACCTTTCAAAGGATGAAAGCCTCTCCAAAAATGCGGCGGCGCCGCTGGCCAGATTGTTGGCACCATCCAGGTGTTGGCAGTCCGTGAGTTTGGACTTTGTGATTGGCCTGCCGAAGGACTCTGAAGATCGTCGACAAAAACTTCCCAGTGAAGCGTGGGTCTCTGTCAGAAACAATTGACTCCGGGAGTCCATGTTGTCAAGCCACGATCCACAAACAGTATCGCTGTATCGACACCGTCGATGGTGTCCGACACCGCCGCAAGATGAGTCATCTTGCTCAAACAGTCAACGAAGACCACCAGATGCAGGGCCTCAAGCTGGATATGTCAACAGCGGACCATCCGCAGACCGGTGGTCAAACTGAGTGCGTTAATCGCGATGTCGATGACATCTTTCGAAGCGTCTCCGCTAACACTCCAATGCGCTGGAGCGCCATGCAGCCACTCGTAGCGTTCACTCTGAACAATGCAAAGCATTCGTCTACCGACTACACGCCGTTCAACGTGAACGGGCTCGTTCATTTTTGCGTCTCGCTGACGCCGCCACCCCATGGTCCAGGGCTTGATGGGGGTGCTGCGCGTAACCGCGCTCATCGATAATACGGCAATATTTTAAATCCAAAAAGCTTACAGCAATCCAACCCATGTCGAGCGGCTAGCTGATGTCAGCCCTTTCACTGTTCATTAAGAAGTCGATGACTTCATGTCTACCAGACTGAGTGCCTCATGACACGTTCGCGATGTGATGGCCGATAGCTAAGACATGCAGACAAAAAAGTAGAGGAAATGTTCAAAACCTTGAGACCGGAGACCTATTTGCACTAAGTGATACAAACTTGCTAGCTGATGTCAGCCCTTTCACTGTTCATTAAGAAGTCGATGACTTCATGTCTACCAGACTGAGTGCCTCATGACACGTTCGCGATGTGATGGCCGATAGCCAAGACATGCAGACAAAAAAGTAAAGGAAATGTTCAAAACCTTGAGACCGGAGACCTATTTGCACTAAATGATACAAACTTCCTATCAATGCAAATTCTGCAGTCTTTAAGATAATTCTCCGTCCACGGTTTATCGAGTCTCTCAAGGTTGTGGCCAAGCGGGGCCTTGCGTATACGCTAAACCATTCAAAACGAATGCACACCTACCTAATATTCTATATGGACTTGATCAGCCGAATCGCGAGCCTATTTACAGAGGTTGTACGGCGAGAACAGTGTGAGCACGCACTCAGCGTCGCCCAGTGTCAGCCTAACTTCCTGCTCCACCGGAGCCCGAATGATATTAAAAACGTCTGACGAAAAGCTTCTAGCTCCGCTATTTCTGTCCCACGCGCATCTGAAGAGCCCTGCCCAACATGCCTCAAACCTTGTCCGACTATGCCACTCATGGCATTCAGCGACTGCTTCAAAACGGGAGAAATGATCAGTGAATTACGTGCCACTCCGCGTTCGGCCCGCGAGCCATGCTTGGGCCTTCTGTCCGATAGTTGACCAACTCGGATACTCCGATCTCTAGCACGTTGACCGTCTCGGTCCGGTGCCCGCGCTAGTAGCGTTCTTGCCTTCAAGCAGAGGTGGATTCGTTATCCAACAAATCTCCACCAGGAGACGTGCGAGTAGCGCTCAAGGTCTTCGGCCTCCAATCGATGCATGGCTCATGGTGTTCCAGCCATGTCATAGCAAGGATGAGGTCATAACTTGCATGCAAATCTAAGACTAAGCAGCGTATCACGCTATCGAAGTAAAAAAAACTGACACCGAGGATCGGTGGGGCCTTCGGCACCGTGACACATGTACACTCTAGCAGCTCGTCGAGCCGACCTGAGTCCATGAATCTCAGCTATGCTGAGAACGAGGAGGCAGAGCTCCGAGCTGCCGAGCAGCGTTCGAGCACTGGACGGTGTTTTGTCTGTGGAGACTTCGAATTGGATGTCCCATGCGAAGGCGCGTTAAGGTTCATCGAGTCGACGTCCCGCTTCTTACCAGTCTTCTGGTTTGTCGCGGGAAAGAACTGAGTTCTGCCGAGCCTTAAAAAGGTAAAGGGCAGCAGGAGTCCCGAAGAGCTCCGTGCTCTTAAAACGGAACGTGTATGTAAGCCGAGCTTGCTGTCATGGAAGCGACCGTGAAGGGCTTTAAGGAGCCATGAAAGATCCAGATCGACTTCGGGGTGGCGAAAAGTTATGTTTGACGCTTCTCGATGGAAGGAAGCCAGCTGTGTGCTGAGGCGCTGAAAGCGCGGTTGAGTCACATCGTCACTGTTCGCTTAGCGGCGAAGAGTGCCGACTTAAAGTTGGATTCGTCATTCAATGCCACATCCGCTGCTTTTTTTAGAAGAAGACGTGTGCAACGGAGGACTTTCATTCTGGCCACGCCAGTGCGGAGGCCTTCAATAAAGACGGTCACCGTGACCACCTCGAAAAGAGGATCTACTGCAATCCCGGCAATGAGAGTATGCAACTCTTGGACCTCGCGCTCGACCGAGCTTGGATATAGCTAGAGCCACGCGCTGTTGCTCGTTCTGGAACATGGCGGACACCATGGCCATCTCGACCTCTCTCACACAGATCAGAAGATTCTCTCCATCCTTGCCCTCGAAGGTCTTACCACTCACCATGAGCATTTTGGGTCGAGCGGAGTCATCCGTCGTCGACGGTGGCGTCATGGACGCAGTCGACGCCGACATCTTCTGC